ATCCTAATGGGACATAATACATGACTCGCATGGTGAGAATAAGCTCACCACCTGGAACTGATTGAGTGATGACGCTTGCTTTCCATGCCAGTCGCAATTTCATTGAAGGCATACGTCGTCTGTTATAAAGACGATGAGTGATACCCCAGGGTGCGTACACATATGACCGAATAGGTCCATATGATGCCAAAACGTGCCGTCATGAGGTGTGCAGGAGAGGTGGGCCTGACGAGCGCTGATTGAAGGTCACCGCAGTCGTTCACCAGTCGTGCTGCGATAATAACGAGTACCAGATGAGGTGCATGCGTGACACAAATGTTCGGTGTTCAGGGTGTTCAATTTTCAATCGTTGCGTATGCGCACATGACTGCATAGGCCATGTCATGTGTGGGCAAGCAATACGAAGGTGACTTGCGCTTTTCGAAGCTTACGACGGTGCTTTTTCAGTTGTGATGCGATAGATTGGCCGGTTTCCGACAATGACCATGATATTATCGCCTGGAGACGGCAGCCTTTGTGCGTGGCCGGTGGATGTTGCGCGGATGAGGTGGACGCAAAGGAGTCTACAGTAAACAACGCGGCGGCCGCGCAATTACAGTAACACGTGTAAACCCAGATTTCACAAGTTCTATCTCGTATACTACATGCCCTGAACGCCCTGTCGGAGCCACCCCTTACTACAGGGATAGACAAACCAGTGTGTTCTACTCGTCGCTGGAAGAAGTTCCACCACCTGAGTGGTTAGCTGGCATTGCAGCAGCGAGGACTGGAAGTAAAAATCATTTTATGGTGGCTTTTAAAACGTTCGAAAATTTAAAGATAGCAATAACAGCAAGATTTATTGGATCCATGGCATTTCAAGAGAGCTCTTGAGTTGCTGTCTCTCATTGCGTAATGTGAATCACATTAGAGATAATAATTGGATTCATACAGAAAAATCTATACAAACACAAGGTCATAAGAAATGGCCATAACGCTATGGTCAGCAAAAAACGGGGAAAGACGACTGAGGTAACAATTTGGGAGGGGAAATGTGTAAACAGGGAGCTAATGTTACCAAATTGTTACCTCAGATGTCTTTCCCCGTTTTTTTTTTCTGACCATAGCGAACGAACCAGTGTGTTCTACTCGTCAATGGAAGAAGTTCCATCGCCTGAGTGTTTAGGTGGCATTGCAGCAGCGAGGACTAGAGGTAACAATCATTTTGCTGTGGCTTTTAAAACGTTCGAAGATATCGAACCGGGCGAAAAAACGGGTATGATAGAAATTTTCAGCGTCAGTAGCTTTAAGGCGTAGGGTGGTCCCGCTGACCTGTTGGATGCGAAAATGCCAAAGTCACAGGAGCCAACGGTGAGGATGTGATGAGGGTTTGGCCGTTGTTGGTGCCAGGCACGCCAGGCCTGCTTGAATAGTTTTTTGTCTAGACATCTTTTAATAACCAGGAACGGGAGACAATGAACTCCAGTCGAAGTCTGGTGGTATGTAAGGTTGAGATTGATTCGTAACCAGGAGCCCAGTGAATGACCAACGGCAGAGAACGGAGAGAATGTATAGAACAAACCCTAATTTGCCAAGGTATCATACCAGTAGAGCCAACTCCCTAATAGAAGCAGAGTAAACTCTAAAAATCAGGGTTAATTTGTAGGTGTGGTGAAGCTAAAAGAGAGCCGCTTTTCGCACGAATGAAAGCAAGTTGAAAACTCCTATAAGGATGAAACTACAGCAAAGGATAAACGCTAAATATTTCCTAAATGTTTTCCCTAAATCACAGAAAAATAGGGGCTTGCACGATCCGTAAAACTTGCATACCACTTGTTCTTCTTGCGGAAGTAGTCCTTTTCCGACATGTTGACAAGATAGATCATAGGTTTGGCAGTAAGGAATAAGTGGTGGTTCAGGATTTCGATCTAGATTGGTTGAAAGACAAACGGAGAGTTAGTTTATCGTGTCAAAGCTCTTAGTCGGAAACACAAAGGAAGCGTAACGTGTTAAGTTTTCAAAAAAACAAACAATTGGTAATATCTGAATGAGGGTGATCAACTTTAAAACCACGTGCTATTTGTGGTGAAAAACAAAATTCCGATCAACTTTCAGCACACGGTATGCAGGTTTCTACGAAATCCAATAGGCAAATTTCCAACAAGGTTCTAGACCTACACACCCACAGAACATGGATTCGGGCAAACTTACCTCGGTTGGGCTCCATTCACCAAAGCGAATACCAGTCTTCTTTTCACAAATAATCTCCTTTGCCTTGGTTATGCAATCGAAATCAGGCTTCTGTTTCTTGTCACCACCTCGAACGACAGCCTTCTCGAGCTTCTCCCACTGCACAGTTACATATTCCTCGTCTTTAAGACGCAATTCTTCCTCAATTATGGCGAGATCCCGAATAGGGTTGATATCGCCTTCGACATGGCTGACATCTGGATCACTAAAGACACCTGTGATGAGAAAAGGGAATGAGCCCATGAGGAAGAAAATGCGATTTAGATAAGAAAGAGTGAGAACTTACGTAACACATGGATGAGGGCGTCCACCGATTTGATGTGTGAAAGGAAGGCGTTACCCAGACCAGCGCCCTCGTGCGCACCTTTCACCAGACCGGCAATATCAACGACATTCAAGTAGGCAGGCACTCGGCTAGTTTGCCAAAAAAAGTTGTCTCAAAAAGTGCACGGTACAAGGAACCCAGAAAAGCTGCGATAAATAAAACCAGATGACAGAACAATCAAAACGTAAATAAAAGTCAAGGCTATGTGTGCGATCTTCTCCAAAGTGAGGACGTTATAACTTTTAGGGCTATAACAACCTAGCGATGTATCACAAATGTGATAATCCTCTAAATTAATCAGCAGATGGCCTGGACCTAACGAACAACACAACGTATAGTTTAACTGGCAGGGGCTATAGAGATCGAACTGAGCTCTAGAAGTTTGAAATAAGAGACACTGGCATACAAAACAGTTTTCAAGGCAAGACTTACATAAACTTTACAAAATAATAACTGTAAACAAATAAGAAAACAACTCACCTCACGGGATTGTGATGCTCGCATAAAAAGTCAAAGCGCGGATCCGGAACGGTGACCCGACCTAAGGAACAGTAGGAGTTATTGCAAAAAAGAGTAACAGCATGCTTTCGTTGGGGTCAATGGTGCAGAAGGGGAAATTGGCAGCCGGGATAGCACTCTTGGTAAGTACGTTGAAAAAAGTGGATTTTCTATAGGAAGGTAAATACGACACAAAAACAACAACGAACCCGACGTTCGGTAGGCCTACAATACCGCACTTCAAGTTGGTGCCAACACGACCTAGCAAAACAGATTTTGGTGGCACATCACCCTTCTTCTTCGACATTTTTTTGAGGATTGCAGCTATAATGAAGAGAGTAGAAATGCGAAGCGGGCGTAGAAAATAACAAAGTTGTAATGAATAGCAGTGTGGCGCACGTGCCGTCGAAAGTCAGCTTAATTCTGAACCTATGACGCGAAACCCATACAGCTAGGCAAATTGACTGCAGTTACTTATGCGGAATAAACAGTCGGAATGGGGTCAAAAGACCAGGAATTGGACAAATGGAATGCCAGTCGAAAAAAAAACAATGTGCCAAATAACGAGCTAGATGCAAAATAAAACTTAATGGTTACGCGCGTCACTTAATTTAAGGCATGAAGACATGTTTCGACAAAGGTACAAAAAAGCTTATCAAATTAAAAACTCCCATACATAATAGGGCAAACCCGAGATGATGATACAAATAAGATTTTTAATAGACATGACAACGCGACAGGAAGTTCGAAATTGTAGAAAAAATATGTAGTGTTCACGGAGGTTGACGAGTTACAAAGGAAAATTGACTTAAACGCTATACCAGCGCATTTGTAACATGATAGTCAACTCGAAAATAACGACTGGTAAACGGACAATTAGTGTTGCGGTTTGGACTTAACCTGAGTTGGATTTTGGAAATGACCCTCTACTAAAGCAGTAACCGACTTAACCCACAGGCCTTACAATTATTAGACTCAAAAGAAAGGTAACTAGCTTGTGAAATGCGAGGTTATCAAGTGTTGAATGCCTTCTAGCCAGCCGCATTAAGAAAGCGACCAATTCGGGAAATTAGGAGCGATAGCTACTATTGTCACATAGAAGGCACAGCATGGTCTCCCGCCTAAAAATATACCGAAAAGAACCCACGTACCTCCATTGCTATCGAGGTTTTGGATAAGCATTTACCTGCAACTCTCAGCCCAGATTACAGCTGTATACTAGTATACACGACGTCCGTACCAACGGAACTACAAATGTGCAGTTCCGTCTTTATTTAAATAAAGTGATCAGATGCATAAGATAGGCAGTATCTCTGCCTTTTAAACGCGGCTGTAAGCAAATGCAGTCTGAAATACTGAAATCCTGACAGGTGACAACCCATGCCATGGCAATGCACATGCATGTGCATTGCACTACAGTTCATTTACCCGATCAACGGAACCGAGCCGAGTAAGACCAACGAGCACACAGCAAGGATTTAATAGAGAACTAATTGACCAAAGAAAAATGCCCGGAAAACTTGATATTTCATTTCGTCCCAAAATATTAATTTTAATCCAGTCAGAACAGAACGCACCAATCAACAACCTAAACTGTACGAGCGTGTACACTCGAAAACACGCGGCCTGATCGCGGCACAACCAAACAACCAAATGACTGCATAAAGTAATAAACGTGAGTCACAAAGAATGCAGAAAGACATGCAGAACAAGAATTGGAGCAAGGAAGGCAGAAAATACTCAGGGGATAAAGGGAACAGGAATGGTTAAACAGATGCCTGGGCTTTTATCAACTGCCGGATAAAATTGCTGTACTAGCACCAATATAATTAACTAACGAACTGTGCAAACCTCTGGATACCATCTTCCAGAAGTCTTTTGAAAAAGGCGAACTCCTGGAAGAATGGAAGTGGGCAAACGTCACCCCGATCTATAA